GTTGAAAAGCCCCGCCGCCTTGTAGACCTCCCGGGCCAGAGAAGGGCAATCACGAGAAAGGACGCCCCCACAGGCAGCAGGGCGGCCGGGCGGCAGGTGAGGGGTGCGGTGACGGGGCGGGCGCTGAGGAAGGGAGGCCTCCACAGGCGGTGGCGGCCCAGGGCTGGGAGCAGGGGGTGGGCGGGCTGCGCCCAGCGCCCCCCAAAGCGCTTGGCGGAAAGCGCCCCCACCCCGCCATCAGCGTCTGCCCATCCCACCGCCGCCGGCCCCGCCGGCTGCCCACCTCCGGCCTGTATGGTGCGCGCGCCCAGGCCCCGCCCAAACAGCTCATACTCCTTGATGGTGGCCCGCGCCTGCACACACACACACACACACACACACATCAATGCACACATCCATACACACAGACACACGCTCATCAATGCACACACACATGCACAGGTTTCAGGGTGAGCAAGCTGCGTGGCTGGCCGCCCCGCAGCGCCGGCGCGCCCGCAGCGTGCACGCCCACGCAGCCGCGCTGCGCGAAGTCACCACCGCCCGTACCACGCCCGCCCTCCCAGCACCCCACCTCGGCGTTGCCGGTCAGGGCCACCACATTGAGCTGTGGCGCGAAGCGCGCAAACTCGCGCTGCCAGTTGGGCAGCGTGGACAGCGGGACGACGACGAGGTGCGGGAGGGGCGGCGGGCCGACGCCGCCGCGCGCCGCCACGCTCGACGCCTCGTGGCTGAGAGCTGCCAGGTAGGCGATCGCCTGGCGGGCAGGGATGGGGTGGGGCGCGGTTTGCAGGGGCAGCAGGAGCTGAGGCAGGGCCGGGGTGCGCCGAATGAGGGAACAGCGGAGAGCGCATGGTTGGGAGCGCCTGCCTGTCTTGTCAGAGGCAGCCCGAGCACTCCCCCATGCCCTTTCCACACCACTACCCCACACACAAACAGTTCACACGCCTCTCCTCCCCATACCTGCACTGTCTTCCCGAGCCCCATATCGTCCGCTAGGATGAGGCTGGTGCCTGCTTTCCACCCCTGGTACAGCCAATTAAGCCCCTCCAGCTGCACAAGGGAGGGGCGGCGGCGCAGGCGGCGCGGGCCGCGGCGGATGAGAGCGGAAGGGAGGGGGCGGCGGCGGAGGCAGGTGCTCGGGCAGCAGAAGGTCTCCCGGCTTCCGACCGTGCTGAGCTGGCGCCAAATGAGCAGGCACCCAAGGCAGTAGAAGCAGCTCGGCAGCTGGGGGCCGCCTCCTCTGGCTTTGCCACCCATCCTGCCCTGCGCTGCCCCCATCCCCACCCACCCCACAGCACCCTCCGCCTGCCGCTAGCCCCCTGCCAGGCCTGGCGCAGCACGCAGCCCCGCCCGGGCACCGCAGCTGGACCCTGTGCCCAGCTGGCTGCCTCATACCTGGTAAGGGTGCAGCTGGCCAAGTAGAAAGGCGGGGGTGGCGGCAAAGCGGCGGGCCTGAGAGCCGCCCTGGCTGCCGCCGTCGGGCCCAGCCCCATCCCACCAGCCTGCAGCCGCCTCGGCCTCTGCCCCGGTCTGCGCCGCTGCCTCGCCCTGCTGCTGCGCCTGCTGCTGCGGGGCGCCGGCAGGCGGAGAGGGCAGCTGCAGCTGGATCTCGCCAATAGGCACCCGCTGCCTGAAGCAGGGACAGGCAAACGCGCGGCCAGAGGCGGCGGCAGCGGCGGTGGGCAGGCTGGCAGCGCAGGGAGGCGAAGCACGGCTGCAGCGGCTGCCCCGGTTGCCTGCCGCGGACCGGTACCGCGGGCTGCCCCACCTGTACTGCTGGATTAGGTGGCGGTACTCCGAGATGTCGCTTTCCTCCTCCCAGGTGCACTCGCTGTACGGCAGCTCCCGCCACTTGCACAGGTACTGCTTGTGCTGCCCGTACTGCAGCCTGGGCGGTACGGCAGCGTCCCCGCCGCCGCCCTCGTGCGCGTCGCCGGCCCCTGCTCCTGCTGCTGCTGCTGCTCCCCCCGCGCCCCCGCCTGCCCCTCCTCCGCCGCCGCCGTCTCCTCCTCCTGCTGCTGCGCCACCGCCGCCGCTGCCCACTGTGCGCTCTGCGATCACACGCTCCACCTCCAGCCAGGCCGGCTTGACCCCCTCCACCAACTCGTCATCTGCCTGCACCACAGGCAGGCGGGGCAGGCGGGGCGGGGCACGTGAGGCACACACGGGGCTCCCTTGAGTGGGCAGTCAGGGGAGAGAGGGGGCCACCTTACAAGCACCAGCCCCACCTCTCACAGCAGGAAGGTAATTAGATGACGATGCGGCAGCAAGGACGCATCAAGCCGTTGTGGTGGAGAGCAGGGCGGCTCCCAGGCCTCCCCGCCCACCCCAAGCACCCACCTGAGTCAGCAGCGCCGCGGCCCGCTTCTTCTCAAAGGTCTTGAGGCGGAGGCGCAGCCCCGGGAAGAGTGCGGCGGCCGCCTCCAGCTCCGACACGCGCACCCACTCGGTGTGCAGGTGGGAGCGTCCCGCGAATTTTATGCGGTACTCCTTGCCGGTACCGCCCCCGCGGCACGCCAGGATGGCGTCGATGCCGCGCCCCAGCCGCTCGTGCCGCGCGCACAGCGGGCACACCCAGCGCGCGCCGGGGCGGCCCGCCGACCCGCGCTCCTTGCCCGTCAGGCAGGCGCGGTGGAACTGCTGGGGGCAGGCGGAGCAGCGCCACGGCGCCTCGCCTGGCTCGAACTCGAAGCTGCCACAGGCCTGGCAGTAGGTGTTCTGCAGCGGGTGCAAAGTCCACACCCAGCAGCAGAGGGCACTGTGAGACGAAGGCGTGGTGCAGCGGCGCCAGCAGGCGGCTGGAGGTGGCGGGAGCGGTGGCGGACTGGGTGCGGCCGGCCGCTCGCTGCAATAATAACAGCACTCCGCTGCGTGTTCTCACCCATTCCTTCTTCTGCGGCTCCTCCTCACTGTCACTGGGCTCACTTCCAAAGTCGTCATCGCTGTCAGAGGCGCTGGACACCTCCTGCCTCCGTGGAGGCATGTTTCAACGGACTGTAGGAGGCATTGGGCCGTGTGCCAGCAGCGCCAGAGGTGCAGCCTCTCGGCCTCAAACTGCGCTGCAGCAAGAAGGCCCTCGGCACAGGCAGGACGCCGCAGGCAGCGTGTGCAACGTGCTTTGAAGCTAGAGGGAGCAAGCGCGCTAGCATCAGGCAGATGACGGACCGCTGCCAGCCGGGCGGCGGCGGGCACGCGGTGACGGTCTCCTCCTCCTGATGCTGTGCACACCACACCCAGCCCCCACGCCGCCGCCGGCACTCATGGCTGGGTGGGATCAAAAAGAGCCTGCTTACAGTGCCTCACTGGTTTCCCTTGTGACGTCGCCGCATGGCCGCTGCCTGCCGCCGCGCCGCGCACTTGGCCGCCGCCTCCCGCTTCCGCTGCTGGGTCTGCCGCCGCCCCGCCTGGAAGCTGCGTGGTCCTCTGCTGAATCATTTGGCCACTTGCCAGCTCCTGTTGGTGTTCAGGCACAATTGGGAGCCGAGAGCACCTTCTGATGGATGAGGTATCGGGGCGGTACCACTCAAGCTGCCACACACAGGACCGGTCACAGCCGCAGGAATGGGTCTCTTGAGAGAAACACACCAGAGAGAGAGCGACGGCTGCCCCGCGTCGCCCCATGGTGTCTCCTTCCCATCCAACCGTCTCCCCCCCGCGTACGGCGGCGGCAGCCAGGAAGGGCATCCCGCCTGACACACATGTATGGCCTGCGCACTTTCTTCGTCTTACAAACAGCAAACTTCCCGCTACGACTGGTGTTGGCCGATGGTGATTAGCCCAGAGGCAACTGGATGAGCCAATAAAATGCAAGTGGGTGAGCCCAGACCGGCACGTCGCCGACCCGGCTTGCACCACCCGTTAAAAAAATGGGGGTGCGAGTGGGAGGAGGGTGTGGTGCAGAGCAGGGGCACATATCAAGGGCCCTGATCTGCACGGCAAGCTGGCTGTGTGTGTGTGTGTGTGTGTGTGTGTGTTGCAGGGCAGGAACGGGGGCTGGTGCCGCAGGCCAGATCCCAGCCGCGAGCGTCGCCAGCTGCCGCCGCCGCTGCTCGACGGCAGGCTGCTGCCCCTGCTGCTACCGGCCCAACGCTGCCACTGGCTGCTGACGAGGATGGTTGCCTGCCTGCCGGCTGCCAGCCTCTCACATAAAGTCAAAGTCATCGCCGTCGCCTGCAAAGGAGGGAAGCGGCGGAGGCGTGAGGCGGCGATGCAGCAAGCAGAGCAGGCCGCCAAGCACAAGACGCCGCCAAGCACAAGAAGGATGCAGAGACACGGGCGACAACAGCAGGGAGGCAGCACAGCAGGCAGGCAGCCCAGCAGGCGCACCGGCGTCGTCAAACACATAGTCATCCAAGCCTGCAGGCAGCACGGGGTCAAGGGCTTGGACACAGTGCAGAATGAGGCAGGCAGGAGGGCGGGCTGATGAGCTGGAGGACCCCCCCCTGCGTCAGATGCAGCCGAGGCTGCGCCTGCCGAGCTGGGGAGCAAGTGCCGACCTGAGGCCCGTGCGGGCCGCAGTCGGTGCACAGGCCGCCCCAGGCCTGCGCCACCCCCTGGCCCTGCCCAGCATGCGAATGGCAGCAACCCCTGCCATGCCCCGCCCGCTCACAACGCCCGCCGGCCCCGCACCTGCCGCGCCGCCGCTGCGCCCCACATTGAGCGTCGCCTTCTTGGTCGTCTTCTTTCCTCCCTGCGCCGCCTTCTCCTCCTTGAGCTTCTCGGCGCGGATGCCTGCAGGCGTGGGGGGGGAAGCAGGGTGCTTGTCGCTTTTTGTGTCTACAGTCTGCATATCCGCAAAAACTTGCGACACAGTTACAATGTGCGGCGTGCGCAGCGTGGAGGCGCCCGTGGCGCCAACAGAGGGCTGCTGCACCTGCCTCGGCGTGCCGGCATGCGCCTCCGCAGGCCAGCAGGAGCATGCACACGCATCACCGCCTCCCTGCCTCTCCCCACCCGCCCCTGCCTCTCCCCAGCCGCCCAGCTCACCCGCCACACACGTCTCGACATCCTTGACCTCCTGCGCGCTCATCATCTGCAGCGCAGCCACCAGCAGGCGCCAGCGCTCACGGCTGGCGACCCCGCCGGTGCAGCGCGGCGGCAGGCGCCAGCCTTTGTGAAAGCAGGCGCTCGCAGCCTGCCATCGCGGCGTGCAGCCTGCGCGACGGGTGCCACTCGTGAGGAACGCGCTCACCTGGAGCGCGACCTTGAGCAGGGACTTGACGGCGGCCTTGTAGTGCCCCGCCTTGGCGTGAGGCAGCATGTGCTTGCCCGCCACCAGCTTCCCAAACTCCTCAAAGTCCTTGGCTGACTTGGGGATGAAGTCCTCCAGGTCGCGCCCTGCGGCAGGCGGGCAGGCGGGACAGCCAGCGGGCAGCCGCGGGTGACGGCAGACGGGCGCGACAGCCGGCAGCGGTCGCAAGCCGAACGGGCGATGCAGAAGCGCGAGCGAGCAGGCCGGCGCGGAAGCGGCATGCCACACAAACGCCTCCACGGTCGCTCTGCGGCGTGCCGGGGCACGGCGACGCCTGGCGGCCTACCCACTCCTCTTGCCCACCCCTGCCCTGTCTTTCCTTCCCCTCCCTTCCCTGTCCCTGCCCTCCTAGGCCGCCCACCCTTGCCAAACAGCTCGATGGTGGCCTGATAGTCTGCCTCCTCTATGAGCCGCTGCTGCCGCAGCTTCTCGGCAATCGGGTCGTCCAGCGGCGTGTCGTCGCCGCCCCGCTGCTGCGCCCCCTTGCTCTCGTCGTACTTGCTGACCCCCTTCTTGTCCTTGGCCTGCGGCAGGCGTGCGGGGAAGCAGGGAGGAGGGTGTGTGAGCTGAATGCAACCGCGGCAGCAGGAGGGGGAGGAGCGAGAGCAGCAAAGGTAAGCACCGCTACGGCTGCCGCATGCGGTATCCCCTTTGCAGGACGGACGAGGCCATGGGTGCCCTGCCGGATCCGGCGGCAGACGCCGGCCTGCTGCTGGCGGCTGTGCCTTGCAGAGGCCAGTGGCGGCGCGAGCGGCGGCGGCGCAGCGGCGGGAGCGCTGGTGAGTGCGGCAGGGCGGCAGCGCCGCGGCGGCCGCACCTGCTGCGGGGCCGGCACGTTGGCCTTCCATTTGGGGTCCTCCTCCTCGCCCTCGTCCTCGCCCACAAACTTGGACTTGCTTGCCTCCGCCTGGGGGGCCGCAGGGATGCCTGGAACTACAGGCTCCTCTGTCTCCCAGTCCTCCCAAGAATCTGCCATTGCTGCTGTGCCCGGGGCTCCTGAGCGAGCAAATGCAGTGGTGCTTGATGTGGGAGGCCCTCTCTGGCGGCCCAGGGGTCTTGCCAGCAGAATGTGGGATCGCTGCCTGGTGCAATGCGGCGTCCCAGGAGCTCTCAAATGGCGCCATCCTTGGCTGACATGGCAGAGATGATGGGCGGAGGCCCCTCCCCGCCCTTGCCTGCCGCAGGCTCAAATTTTAAGGGCAGCCAAACACCAACCACGCACCGGCAACCCCCCTTCTTGCGAAGCACTGTGCTGAGCGGCTGCCTGGCTTGAGAGCGCGTCTATGAGGTGCGGTGTGGCGCCCGTCGTCCGTCAGCCGTTCAAAAGGCAGCGCTGGAGGAGCGTGGTGGGCGCCGGCGACAGGATCAGCCCTGCCACCGCCGTTTTGGGGCTCTGCCTGCCAGCCGGCGGCCTGTAGGGCCTTGGCAGAGCCCTCGGGCCTCTACCAGCAGCTGCAGCTGCGGGGCCAGCGTGCAGACGGCCTGCGGGAGCTCCCCGCCACACCAATGCCCCACCACCCCTTTGCCTGCAGGGCGAGAGCGCGGCAGAGGACAGGGTTGTCGTAGCATGTTGAACACGAATCAGGGCCTGGACGGCAGGTTTGCGCAGTTCCAGGGGCAAGGCCAGCCGGGCGGCGGCGCCGCCACAGGAGGCGGCTTCCCCGGCCTCGGCAGCAACATGCAAGCGCTGCAGTCGCTCCAGGCCGGCACCTTTGGGCTGCAGAACCCACTGCAGGCCGGCAGGTGGGTGGCGCAGCGGGGGAGCAGGCATGCAGCCTGCTCTGGGTCGTGTGAGTAGGCCTGGCATCGCAGCCACCCGCCCCGAGCCTGTTTTGTGAAGCAGCGCACACACACCCTTTTCCCGCGACCCGGTTTGTGTGTGGCTCAAACGCTATGGCCAGCCGGTCGCACACCGCCCTGTTTGCATGCCTCCCTGCCGCAGGCCGGGGATGGGTGGCCTGCAAGGCGCCGTCGGAGGCCAGGCGGCGGCGCTCGGCGCGCAGCAGCGGCTAGGCGCGGGCGGCGGCCTGGCGCCAAACCTACAGCAGCTGGGGCTGGGGCAGGCGCCGGGAGGGCGCGTGGGCCTGCCGGGGCAGCAGTTTGCCGGCGTCAACGGTGAGGCGGGCCGCCGGCGAGCCGGGCGCGTATGTGTGTGCATGTCACGTGTGCATGGTGGCTGCGTGGTGGCAGATCGGGCGCTGGTTGCTGATGCATGCTGGCTGCCCCTCAGCGGCAGCTGTGTCTGCAGCGCAGCGGGCGCGGCGGGCACCCAGCAGCCCGCATGCCAAGGCCGGCCCCAACCGCTGCTCGCGCCGCCACCGCCGCCTGCAGGGCTGGCGGGCGTGGGGCGGTCGGGCCTGGGCGGCGGCGGCGTGGCGGGCCTCAACCCCGCGCTCACGCAGCAGGGGCTGGCCAACCGCAACGCCACCGTGGGCGGCGTGGGGCTGCCTGCCGGCGCGCTGGGAGGGTATAGCGCCAACCTGGCGGCGCTGCAGGGGCGCCCCGGCGCCGCGCAGGCGGGCATGCCGGGCCTCAGCGGCCTGGGAGGCAGGCTTGGCGGCCTAAGCGGGCTGGGAGCGGGTGAGCGTGCGCGCGCCGGCCGCCGGCGGCCGCCCCGGCAGCGGCCTGCCCGCCGCCACGCGCTGCCGTGTGCCTGCCGGCGCCGCTGCGCCGCGCCTCTGCTCAGCCCTGTGCTGCGTTCCCCAGCCTCACGTAGCCCCCTCCGCCTGCGTCATACCTGCTGAGCCATAGTCTCCCCTGCCCCGACCCGGCCCGCGCTGCCACGCCCCCTGTTGCCCTGCCCAGGCGGCGCCTCGGGCTTTGGCGCGCCTTCGGGAGACCTGCTGTCGATGCTCAACAAGACGGGAGGGCGGCAGGAGCAGCAGCAGCACGGCGGCGGCGGCCATGAAGCCCCCGCCTTTGATGCCTCCGACTTCCCATCCCTGACCGCCGCAGGCGGCGGCGGTCAGCACCGCAGCGCCG